CACCTGGAACTGCTTCCCCTGGGGGCCTCAGAACAGCCCCTCACTGGCCAGGGGCTTCCTGTCCCTTCTCCGCCCTCAAAGCCTTTGTGTCCCCGGCTCCGCTCACCTCAGTCCCCTCCGCTGGAACTGTCTTGGACTCAACACCCCTCTCCACGATAAGCCAGAACTGTGTCACGGCTCCTAGTCAACCCCGCTGTTAAGCTGCAGACTCCTAGCATCTGCCAGCGAAGTGAGGGGCCCTGGGTCAGCGCCCACAGCTTCGGCCCCGCTCACGGAACTCCCCAAATGTTTCCGCTCCCTGGGTGCCCTCCACCACTGTGCTCCCCTCTCAGGTCCACGCCACCTGCATCCTTTTACACCAGCCTGTTACTGCAGCAGCCTACTTCCTGAGAAACCGGAGGTCTGGTCACACAACTTCTCTTTTTTACCTTAAAACTGTTCTGTGATATCATCTGTTTCCTCTTTCTCTAGTCTTATGGGTAAATTCCTTTTAAAACACATCATTCGCACACAGTAAAATGTCCAGATCTTAAACTACAGCTTGATAAAATTAATTTTTTTTATTGTCAATCCTCACCAGAGGATATTTTTTTCGTTGTTTTACAGAGAGAGTGGGAAGGAAGAAGGGAGGGAGAGAGGGAGGGAGGGAGGGAGGGAGGGAGAGAGAGAGAGAGAGAGAGAGAGAGAGAGAGAGAGAGAGAGAGAGAGAAACATCAATTGGTTGCCTCCTGTACACACCAGTTTCACCAGGGGTGGGAGCAAACCTGAAACCCAGGTATGTGCCTTTGACTGGGAATCAGACCCAAGAGCCTAACCATAGAGCAATGCCAGCCAGAGCGCCTGACACAGTTTTACCTATGTGTACCCGGAACCAAGGTGCCGGACGCTCCACCACCCGGAAAGCTCCCTCATGTCCTCAATCAGTCCCGCTATTCTGACTTCTTTCACCATAGAAATTTTGCCTGTTTTTAAAGTTCACATAAATGGACTCTTGTGTAAATGATTTTAGAAATGTTTTCCTGATTCAGGTATTTTCCTACTTATAACAGGAAAATTTATAAAATGAGAAGAAACAAAACATTTCCTAATACCACACTGCCAGAGATGTCCATTGCTAATATTCTTCCTAGACTTTGTTGTATATAAAACTTCACTTTTTACAGAAATGGAATAATACTGTAAATACTGTATTATCTCTATTTGACACATTTCTTATATCTTTTTAATGACTATGCAGGATTTCACTGAATGGATGTACCATAAATTGATAAAAATCCTCTTGTGACATCTAGGTTATTAAACTTTTATTTTTATTTATTTATTTTCCTGTTCAGTTTATTGTCCTACTTGCTTAAGTAAATTTTTTAAAATATATTTTATTGATTTTTTTCAGAGAGGAGGAGAGAGGGTTAGAGAGCTAGAAACGTCGATGAGAGACAAACATCAACCAGCATGCCTACCAGGGTTGTGCCCGCAACCAATGTACATGCCCTTGACCGGAATCGAATCTGGGACCTTTCAGTTCGCAGACCGACGCTCTACCACTGAGCCAAACCGGTTTAGTCTAAACTTTTAATTTTTGCCTTTCTAAATAGCAGGCACATCTTGCAGTTAAATGTGCATGTCCATGCTATTTTTCTAGGGAGAAAAAAAAATCCTAGATGTGAGGTTATTGAGTCAAAATAAGAATGGGAATATTTCCTTTTTTTTTTTTCTTTTTATTTATTTTTTGTTAATACTTTTTAAAAAATATATATTTTATTGATTTTTTACAGAGAGGAAGGGAGAGGGATAGAGAATTAGAAACATTGATGGGAGAGAAACATCAGTCAACTGCCTCCTGTACACTCCCCACTGGGGACGTGCCTGCAACCAAGATATATGCCCTTGACCGGAATCCAACCTGGGACCTTTCTTTCTTTTTTTTTTTTATTATCATTTTTTTAAAATAAATTTTTATTGTTCATATTATTACAAATGTTCCCCTCCCCCACCATTCCTTTTTTTTTTAATAATTAAAAAAATTTTTTTTAATTGGTTTTTTACAGAGAGGAAGAAAGGAGAGGGATAGAGAGAAACATCAATGAGAGAGAATCATTGATCAGCTGCCTTTTGCACACCTCCCACTGGGGATGTGCCTGCAACCCAAGCACATGCCCTTGACCGGAATCGAACCCGGGTCCTTTCAGTCCGCAGGCCGACACTCTATCCACTGAGCCAAACCGGTTTCGGCAGGAATATTTCCTTTTTAATTGGAAAAAAAAAAAATATATATATATATATATATATATATATATGTATTTTTATTAATTTCAGATAAGAAATCTGGAGAGATAGAAACATCAACGAGAGAGAATCAATGATTGGCTGCCTTCTGCACAACCCCTACTGGGGATCAAGCTGGCAACCCAGGCATGTGCCCTTGACCAGAATCGAACCCAAGACCCTTCAGTCCACAGACATTCTATCCACTGAGCCAAACCAGCCAGGGCTTTGTTTGTTTGTTTTGAGAGAGAGAAACATTGATCAGCTGCCTCCTGCATGCACCCAACCAGGGATCAAACCTGCCGCCTGGGCATGTGCCCCGAGGAGGAATGGAACCAGTGACCACTGGTTGCACAGCACCATGTTCGACCCACTGAAGCACATGGGCCAGGATAGAAATTTTTCCTTTTCTAAATACTTGTTTTGTTTCCAGATTGTGGCACAGAAAAATTATGCATCTGCCAACAATGCTCAGCCTCCTATCTGTGTCACTAAAATCTTCAACAACTACCGTCCCCTTTTCAATTGCTTGGATGGCTTCATCTTCCATGTTTGGCATCTCTCCCTTACAAAACCTCAACCTTGCTATTTCCACAGGTCACCGCTGTCTCCCTCCCTGACAAAGCAGTTTGCACAACCAGCTTCCGCTTTCTTGTTAAAGTCATTTCCCCTGAGCATCTCTCACGGCCACCTGAGACCTAATTACCACTGTCCTTGGCCTCTTCCAAGACCTTTCTGAGCAGTTCCCCGCTGGTGTCTGACGCAGAGTTAAGGGTCCCCGTTTCTTTTCCCACAGGTCGAGGGGCAGAGTATGTGAACCGACATTTCCTCGCGAGGGCCACCGGGGCGCTTTCAGCAAGGGAGACCCACCAGCTGTGGGTTTCTGGAAGCTGGTTCTGTTCCTGTGGAGAGACTAGGTGGGAGGGGCAAGGCTCAGTGGACCTGATGGATGGAGCGTTGGATGAGGAGTCCCCTGGGACGAAGAGAAGCGAGGGGTGGGCATGAGCACTGTTTATAAGGCACAGTGACCAGGAGCGGGAGGCTGAAGAGGCATGCACGGGGAAGGAAGAAACTGGATGATGCCCAGGTTTCAAACCACTGGAGTTAGGAACAGATTCCGTCCCCGGTGGCCTTGCTAGGTGCCGTTCCAGTGGAGCAGCGTGTCAGAAGGCACAGGTAGTTATCGGGAGGGGAAGTGGAGTGAATGCAGGCAGCTCTCACAAAGTCTGCCGGTGGGAGGTCAGGGACACAGAGGACAAGCCAGCAGTCAGGAGTCAGGTCCCATTTGTTGTAAGGCAGGAGAAGCGTCATTATGTTTAAATGCTAAAAGCAATGCCATTTTAGAGAAAGAGGTTGAAGATACACAGAGCATGATGTCCCTGGGGTGGGAGGTGCAGGCCTTAGGAGGAAGGACGGGAGCAGAAGCAGGTGCATTTGTAGGTTTGAAGGAGGAAGTTGAGGGCGTCCCCAGATGATGGCCTCTCTGTCAGGTTCTGGAAAGGTGACGGGGTCAGAGGCCTAAGAAGACTGAGGAGGATCTCAAACAGCTGTTTCAGAGAGCAGGAGAGACTGCAGGAGGCCTGAGGTTTTCTGGGCAAATTGAGGGCCCAGGTGAAATTAGACCAGAAAGATGGCGGAGTGGCACCTCGCTTGTCAGCCGCTTGTCAGCAGCCTCATTTCTCTCTGAAAACAGAGGGCATTCGGAGTTCTCAGTGCCTCCCTTGTCCAGCTCCCCAGCCCGGAAGCCCGGGCCTCAGCTCTGGGGCCCCTGGGCACTTCACAGCTTCATTCTCCTCTGTTCCCGCACATGGGTACACTCAGCCACACAGAGCTCCTGATTGTTCCAGACACATCATGTACTTCCCCACTTAACGCAAGACTGAGGCGGCTGACACTCAAATAAAGTTTATTTTTATTTATTTTTTCGACTATATGATTTACTTTATTTTTAATTTTAAATTTTTATTTTTAAATATTTTGATTTTTTTTTTGCCCCCCTCCCTCCCTCCCTCCCACATATCCCCTCCCTCCCCAGAGTTTTATGTCCATTGATTGTACTTATATGCATGTATACAAGTCCTTCGGTTGATCTATTATTGCGGCCGCCAACCTTTCGGACCTCTCGGACCACCGGTTGGCGACCGCTGGTTTAAAGCGATGTGCTCTCAGTTTTCCAAACTCCTCTGGTGGCCAGAGAGACAAGTACCTACCTGGACAGCATGATTCTGGTCTTCCAGAATTACATAGAAGACTCTGGCTTCCTTATAACCCAGGTCAGCGAGTAGAGTCGATATAATCACTATTGGCATACCTACACCCATGAGGACACCTAGAACGTGCACACACCTGATGTCCTCACACAGCTCTTACCTCGGTGCTGTTGTCAGAGGGCTTTAGTTGGCAAGCAACTAACAGGAAACCCACTCTAGCTAATTTAAGGGGAAAACTGTGTTGCCCTAGCTGGTCTGGCCTGCAGACTGACAGGTCCCAGGTTTGATTCCGGTCAAGGGCACATACCTTGATTGCAGGCTTGATCCCTGGCTCTAGTTGGGGTGCATGTGGGAGGCAACCAATTGATGTTCATAAGTTACCACTGAGCCAGCTGGGCAGACTCATCAGAGGGTACCCTCATGAAGAACAATCTTCTCTGACCAGCCCATTCCCACCCCCCCCCCCTTGCAGACTGACACCCGCCCCCACTCCCCACCAAAAGAACACAGGCAGCCAAAGGCAGCTTGGGCAGTACTTGATATACATCATACATTTATTAGTGAATATCCCTCTGAAATCAGCAACAATATTAAAAAAAATAATGATTGCACTACTTGGTCAAGCAGAACTAGCAACTTTCATTTTAAAAAAAGTACAAATCTGTTAAAAATTTCAATCAGTATACACATATATATAATACAACATACTAGTTATGTTAAATGCTACAAACCAATGTGAATCCAATGGAATGGAAAAAACCACACATTTAAGCTTTAAGAACCATTTTTTTCTCTCTATATATTAGCATTTTCTCAAATACATACATGGGGAAAATGAGGTAACTGTAAAATGTGCAAGGAACAGGCCCCCCAAATTACATATATTTATATGTGTGTGTATATATATGTATATTGTAGTTACATACATATATATATAAAACCCTTCTAACACAGAACACAGGTGCTGGGCCCAGCCAGGCTGGGGGATGCTGCCCACTGCCATGCCTAGGCCAGAAGTTGGTAAATAAGAGTAAACATTAACAAGCCCCCACCACAGGAAATCATTGGTAACATGGCATCTAGAGCAAGGTCAGCAAATCACAAACATCCTAAATAATTGTTTTATAAATCTTCTCTTAAATGATTTTTTTTTTTTTAAACGTCGTTTCTCCTCCCACCCCCGTCAACAGCTGCTCGTTGGGACCACCGTGGCAGCCTCTACCACCCGAGAGCCTGTTCTGCCTGCCCAGGACCCGGAGGGTTTTGAAAACCTTTTTGGAGCGGGGAAGGGAGGGGCTGGAAGAGGATGGTTGTCTGTGTAAAATACGAGGGGTTTGGACGCTGCTATAAATATAGAAAGATCACCTGGCGTTATATACAGTAAGACTTTGGGTTCCCCACGGGGTGGGGCCAGGCTGATGGGGCCCCATGGCAGCCGGGGAGGCGGGAGCCGGGGCCGCGGCCGGAGAACGAGGGTGGTTGGAGCATCCCTGAGGCAGCAGGCGCCAGGGGCCGCCTGCTAGGATGTGCCGGCCCCACACGCAGTTCGTTCTGGGCAGCAACCTCAGCTGGGGGGGCGGGACAGGGAAGGGGCCGGGAAGGAGAGGGAGGGAAGCTCAGCCAGACCCTGCGGGGGCCTCCTCCAGGCCTCGGAGGGCAGGCTCAGGGTGGGAGGGGGCCCCTGGAGGTGAGGCCCACGCCCGCCCTGGTCCCAGTCCTCCTGGGGCTTCCTTGGAGGAGACTGGCCCAGGCGGGTGGGAGTCAGGCGCTGGCTGGAGAGGGAGAAATGCCCTGAAAAGCAGTAGGCTCTGGGGACGTGTGCAGTACAGTGCATGGCAGTTATCAGCTGAGCACAGACCCCCAGCCGCCCGCATGCATGTGGACCGGGCGGCACCACTGGACGGTTCCCTGCCCCCTGGGCACTCAGTCCTGGTTGGTCCCTAATACCCACCCCCATTTAACCAAAAGAAAACAAACTGTCTAAAAATCCACATCCCAAAATCCTACACGCGATTTTGGGCCAAATGAATAAAGAAAGACTGCTACTCTTCACGTTCATGCAGAATGACAGCGAGGGGAAATCGGGCATGGGTCTGGACCCCGTCATTGCCAGGGAGCGGTGGCGGCCAGGACCTGGGTCCCTCTCCTCGGCACAGCCCACGCCCCTCAGGATATGTGCTGCCCAGGCTCAGGGCCTGTGCCCCCCGCGCAGGAGGCTGGCTGGCTCTGAGGCCCTCCAGCCTGGGCGTGTGGCTGGAATGTTGTGCCTGGGGGGAGGGTCCTCGGGGAGCCAGACCCACCCCTTTCAGCAGGCTGCCCGAGTCCGACTGGGGTCAGACCCAGGCCTGGGTTTCAGGAAATGGCCGTATGCCACCGTCTGTCCATGGCTGTCAGAGCCGCCTGGGAAGAGGGCACGCTATTTCAGTGCAAGAGACCAAGAGTCCCAGGACTGTGACCCCTTTGCCCATCGGGGCCAAGGATCTCCACCGGCCACAATGGGGGGGAGACCCCGGGGTCCCATGCTGATGGAACCGAGGCCCAGCGGGAGGGAGGCCGATTGGGGCACTCAGGCAGCTCCGTGGTGGGCGGACTGGCAGGCAGACTGGGGATGGAGTCTTTGGAGCTTGGCAAACGCAGGGGCTTATTGCAGGGGCTGCTCGTGGGCCTGACCCTGGCACCAGCGCTGGATGTACAGGTGGGAACAGTGGGACAGGCCCGGGCCCTACCTCCCCATCCTCCCCTCCCCCCCTGAGTTTCCAGAGCTTCGGGCAGGGTCCTCATGGGCAGCTGTGGGCCTCACTCGACTTCCCTGGGCACCTCGGAGGCATCGGCCCGGCAAATGGGACACGTCCGGTTGGCCTGAGGGGAGGAACGGCTGGCGCTTCAGTCCCCACTCGCACCCGTCCCCGCCCCACCCGTCTGTCCTGCTGCATGGCGGGAAGGCAGCCCCTGACTAGGCCAGCGTGTCTGGGTGACGAGGAGGAGGAGGAGGAGGAGGAGGAGGAGGAGGAGGAGGAGGAGGAGGGAAGCCCCACGCCCAGCCTCCTCCCTCCCCACACGAGGAACCCCGGGCCGCGTCACCTTGAGCCACTTGTCCACGCACTTGGTGTGGAACTCGTGGTTGCAGGGCAGGACTCGGAGCAGCTGCCGCGCCTCGAAGTCGCTGAAGCAGACGACACACCTGGGAGGAGGGCGCAGGATGTCGCTTCCATGCGGTGGCTGAGGGCAGGCTTGTGGCAGAGCACGAGCCCCCCCCCCCGCCCCTCAGCCCCCCAAAGGGTTCCCTGGCAGCCCAGCTGTGCCCCGAGGGCAGGACCGGGCGCTGCACTCACAGCGTCTGCTCCGACTGATGGCTGTCGGGGTTGAAGCGGTAGGCGGGAAGCTGCTCGATGTCCGCCTTGGCGAGGCCTCGCGGCTTGGCGTCCCCCAGCCGCTCCGCCAGGCTCAGGAGGGCCTGCAGACGGGCAGGGGGCGGGGTCAGCAGGGGCCTGGGCCGGGGGCCCCCAAGCCCCCACCTCCCAGGACAGGGCTCCACGGGACCTCATAGTTCTCCAGCTCCACGTCATCCACATCGAGATCCAGGCTGATGGTGGGCCCCACTGCTGTGGGCGACATTGGCAGCATTGAGCTAGGGGAGACAGGTGCAGGGGGCCAGGGTCAAGGGCAGCAGGCACTGGGGCCCCCGTGTTTGCCCCGGATGCTGTAGGGGAGGCAAGCCCAGCTGGTGTGTGTGTGTGTGTGTGTGTGTGTGTGTGTGCGGTCTGCTGAGGGTGCAGATAGCCTGAGAGGCCCCAGGCCCCCACAGCTGTGTTTGTCTAACCACAGGAGGCCCCCGAGAGGAGCACCACGGCTCTGGGGCAGAGGGGCAGGTACTTACAGGAAGTAGGGCAGGAAGCTGGGATAATACGGCGGCGGGGGTGGTGGTGGTGGCGGTGGTGGGGGCAGCGGCTGCTGCAGGCGGTATCTCTGGGTGCTCACTCTCCGTGGCATCATGTGGGAATAGGGCTGTGGGAGGGCGTCAGGTCACCAGTGTGCCTGGCTCCCATCGCCCCAGAGCCTGGGGGAGGGGGGTGGGGAGAGGTGGTAGGGAGGGGGCCGGGGGTGCCACTCACCACACCAAAGGACAGCTCTTGGTGCAGGGGGTCGTGGGGCAGGTAGTGGAGGGGCACGGACGGGGACAGGGCCGGGCCTGGGGCAGAGGTGGAGTAGGTGAAGCTCGCCAGGGGGTACTGATCCCCCCGAAGGTCCACGTCGTTGTCCAGCCGCTGCAGGGGCTAGAAGAGGCAGGTGGGTCAGCTGCGGTCAGTGACAGGGAAACCCCTGCCCCGTGCCACCTCCTCCAGCAGCGGCCCCGTCGCCCAGACTCACCATCCGCGGGTGCTGGGTCTGCAGCGATATGAACTGGCCCAGAGGCGCCATGTGAGCGGGCTGGGGGTGTGGGGCGGGCGGCGGGGGGTGCAGGATGTAGTGGTCACTGGAGATGAGGTGGGGGTAGGCCTGATAGGGCACAGGGAGCTGCTGCATGGTGCACGCCTGGATCAACTGCCGAGAGAGGGGGCAGGAGCTGGAAAACGTGCTTCTGGGGCGGCCTGTGCTTGTGGCGAGGGCCGGGGGCCACCCCCTACAGCGGCAGGTCCCCCCGAAGCCCTCTGGACTGACTGCCCGTCCCTGGCCGAGGCCACCCAGGCAGGACACTACACTCCGAAGGCCCCCAGTTACCACCCCACACGGGCTCTGTTGAGAGGCCGGGTATAGCATCTGGGGGCTCCCACTGGCAGGCACTGGGGTGCAGGGTGGTGGTCTGGAGCCAGGGAGGCGCCCTGACAGCCTGCCTGGGTGTCCTAAGCTCGGTGGTCCTGCCACGGGCCTTTTGGTGGGGGGTGGGGGTGGGGGGTGGGGGCCCTCACTCACCGGGGGCGGGAGGCAGCAAAGTGGGTAGTGCTGCCCACTGAACATCACGGAGCATGCTGGGAGCTGTTGGGCACTGCAGCCAGGGATGTGCTGGCCTGAAGGCAAGGGGAAGCCTTGGGTCGTCACGGTGGTGACCGTGTAGGACAGAGGGACAGGCCCCTGGTGCACCTGTGGGTGGAGAGAAACGCGGGGGCTGAAGGGAGGAAGCCTGGCCGGAAGGTGCTGCCCCGGGTCAGACAGTCCTGCCGGGCCACTCCCTGTTCGCTAGCTGGGCCCACCTAGTGCAGACCTGGCTGCCCCAGCCCCCAGTCCAAAGGGCAGAGAGCCCGGGAGCCTGGAGGAGCTTCCAGCTCCACCCCTCACCGCTGTGTGGTCCCGGCCGGGCCCTTCCCTCCTCTGGGCCTCAATGACAGCCCATAAAGCAGGGCTAACGATGGCTCCCTCAACATGCAAGGGGTTAAGCAAGGGGAAATCCGGGCTCCGTCACTCTGTCTCACAGACGGGCTTGCAGAGGCCGGGGTCGGACAGGGGTGTTCTGCCTACCTGCTCGTGGAGATCAACCATGAACGGGCTCTGCTGGGAGGCTGGGTGCAGCATCCGGGGGCTCCCGCCGGCAGGAGCCGAGGCTCGACGCTCCTCTACAAGGAGGTGTGACGGTCGGGGCGGAGGCTGCTGGGAGGGTAAGCGCTCATCCTGGGCAGGCAGGCGGCCCTCACGGCCAGGGCTGCACCACAGAGAGGAGGCCCGGGTAGGACTGAGGGGACACTCATTCACAGGGCATGGCGAGGAGCCAAGGTCACTACCCACGGGGGAAGGAGGAGAGCTCAGGGCCCGTGCCCCGCCACCCCTGGCCCCGTGCCCGGCCCACGCCGACGGCCCCAGCGCCGGGAGCTCCGGGGACTGCGGGACCGGGAGGTTCCTTCCTACCTTCCCCGGAGCTGGGCTGGGGTGCTGCCGGGTCCCGCAGACAATCGCCGCTGACCCACAGGGGCGGAGGGCGGCCACCTAGTCACCGCCAGAGCCCATGGTCGCATCAGGGGTGGCAGAGGGGTGGGGAGGCTGGGCCCGGGCTCGCAACCCTAGGAGTCAAAAAGACAGAGAAACTGAAGCACAGAGAAATCCAGCCACTTGTTTCATTTAGGGCCCGGGAGACTAAAATCAAATTCTGGGGCCACCAATGCCCACCCCCACCCCGTGCTCCCCATGCACAGGGACTCTAGCCCTCTTCCTGGCATTGCGCCTCAAGAGCTGAGAGACGGGGCCCGGCTTGGCTTGCAAGGATCCCAGGCCTCAATCTGCTCTGCAAAACGAGCCCGGGCTCCCTCGGGGCTGCAGGGGTCTCAGTCTCCTGGGGCAGGTGGCTCCCCATAAGGCTCCTTAGCGTAGGGCTCCCTCCCGTGGGGGGTCTATAGTGCTGGTCTCCAGGCAGGCAGGGTTCCTGGGCGGCTCAGCTTCCTCCCTCCCATCTAGTTGGCTCAGGGGGGATTCCAACCAGGCGTGGGGCCCAGTTTTCCTCCCACGACTGCCAGGTAAGAGGTTCTGAGCCAGATCCTGCCCTCGGGGCTCCCAGTCTGCCCCCAGGTGACACGGTCCTACCAGGCCACCTCCCTTCCTTCTCCCGCCGGGATCTCTACCTACGCACAGACCTGGCCGTCCCTCTGTTTCTTTCCATAACCCGTTCCCACAGCGCCTACCCATGTGTGACTTCTTCAAAGAAGGTATTATTTGCTCCATTTTACGGAAGAGGAAACTGAGGCTGAGAGAGGAAGGGACTTGCCCCAGTGTCAAAGGGGAGGTGGGCTGACCCCAACCCCTCACTGCACCCTGCCACCTGTGGGAGGGTCCAGCCCACGGGCACCCTAGGAGGGGCTGAGAGGCCAGCCACCGTGCTTGGCCAGGTAGGCCTGGCATGCAGCGCTGGGGCCTCACACGGCCTCCAGGTGGGAGGTGGGGCTTGCTGGGAGAAGGAAAGAGGAAGCCAGGACCTAAGGGAGGAAGTTGTGCAGGAATGGGGTGTGGCAGGTCTGCTCCTTCCCTGGGAACCGGGGGTCAGGGTGAGGCCGTTAGGGGGACCCCTCACTAACTCCAGAGGTCGGGGTGAGGCCGTTAGGGGGACCCCTCACTAACTCCAGAGGTCGGGGTGCGGCCGTTAGGGGGACCCCTCACTAACTCCAGAGGTCGGGGTGAGGCCGTTAGGGGGACCCCTCACTAACTCCAGAGGTCGGGGTGCGGCCGTTAGGGGGACCCCTCACTAACTCCAGAGGTCGGGGTGCGGCCCAGTTAGGGGGACCCCTCACTAACTCCAGAGGTCGGGGTGGGCCCAGTTAGGGGGACCCCTCACTAACTCCAGAGGTCGGGGTGCGGCCCAGTTAGGGGGACCCCTCACTAACTCCAGAGGTCGGGGTGCGGCCGTTAGGGGGACCCCTCACTAACTCCAGAGGTCCGGGTGAGGCCCAGTTAGGGGGACCCCTCACTAACTCCAGAGGTCGGGGTGAGGCCGTTAGGGGGACCACTCGTTACTCCAGGGGTCGGGGTGAGGCCGTTAGGGGGACCCCTCACTAACTCCAGAGGTCGGGGTGGGGCCGTTAGGGGGACCCCTCACTAACTCCAGAGGTCGGGTGAGGCCGTTAGGGGGACCCCTCACTAACTCCAGAGGTCGGGGTGAGGCCCAGTTAGGGGGACCCCTCACTAACTCCAGAGGTCGGGGTGAGGCCGTTAGGGGGACCCCTCACTAACTCCAGAGGTCGGGGTGAGGCCGTTAGGGGGACCCCTCACTAACTCCAGAGGTCGGGGTGAGGCCGTTAGGGGGACCCCTCACTAACTCCAGAGGTCGGGGTGAGGCCGTTAGGGGGACCCCTCACTAACTCCAGAGGTCGGGGTGAGGCCGTTAGGGGGACCCCTCACTAACTCCAGAGGTCGGGGTGAGGCCCAGTTAGGGGGACCCCTCACTAACTCCAGAGGTCGGGGTGGGGCCAGTTAGGGGGACCCCTCACTAACTCCAGAGGTCGGGGTGGGGCCAGTTAGGGGGACCCCTCACTAACTCCAGGGGTCGGGGTGGGGCCAGTTAGGGGGACCCCTCACTAACTCCAGAGGTCGGGTGCGGCCCCCGCAGGGAAAGCTTTGAAACCTGTCGGGTTCCTGCCACAGGTCCCCACCACCCCTCCTCCATTTGACAAAACTCCCTCCGAATCCTTGATGCCTCTCTGCTGACACTGCCAGGAAGCAGTGTACTGTCCCCTCAGCACCTGTTCCTTCCTGCCAGCAGTGGCAAAAACATTTCTTTTGTGAGGTCTTTGCAGCCCTGACTCTCCAAATGAACCTGCAAGAAAGGCCCTTCTCCAGCTGCCAGGACAGCGTCCCGCCAAGGCCACAGCCAGGACGAGGCTGATTCACGCCTCCTGCTCCCGCCCGGCCTCGTTGGAAATAATAACACCGGGGACTCGACCACACAGGGCCAAGGCCGGTCTGCAGCCCTGAAGTTAGGGCCAACAATCCAAAATTGGGAGGCTACACAGGATTCTGGCCTTTGGATGGTCAGGGCCAGAAAATCCGGCTCCACTGGTCCTTCGTTGATGCTTGGCCCCTTCTTTCTTGGAGCATGAGTCACCCCAGGAACACTCCCTCCTGCCCACACAGGTGACTGGGTTTGTGATCGCTGGTGTGGGTCAAGTACACATCCTCACGCATGGGTATACGTACACCGCCTCCCCGGTTCCTGCTGACAGTCCAGCCTGGCCAGCAAAGGCCCAGAGAGCTTCGGGGGAACCTCCAAATAATGGGAACAGGCCTGGGACCTCCTGGGTCAGATCCTTACGGGGCTGGGGAACAAGGGCACCTAGTTGTTGTTTTTTGTTTGTTTGTTTGTTTGTTTGTTTTTTACCAAATTCTCCAGCAGTTTCTCCAGCACAGGTAGGTTTGGGAACCTCTGCTCTGACTGACTTCAGAGACTCTGGGAACCCAGCCCCCTGATAAAGAACATCAACAATAACTATAATACTCCCATGTGCCATCTTGATCAGTCCTTACAGCAACCCTCAGAAGGAGGGGCAGTGAAGCTCAAAGAGCTGAGGTCCAAGGCCAGTCAGCTGGAGCTGGAAGGGCAATGGGACACGGCCCAGGCAATGGCCTCAACGGTTACTCTTTTTTATTTTAAAAAAAATGTATTTTATTAATTTTTCACAGAGAGGAAGAGAGGGATAGAGTGTTAGAAACACCGATGAGAGAGAATCATAGATCAGCTGCCTCTTGCACACTCCCTACTGGAGATGTGCCCACAACCAAGGTACATGCCCTTGACCGGAATCGAACCTGGGACCTTTCAGTCCGCAGGCCGACGCTCTAGCCACTGAGTCAAACCAGTTTCGGCTCAACGGTTACTCTTGTGGGAGGCTGTTTGCTGAAGTCTGGGCAGCGTCAAGGCTCAGAGGCCCAGGCCCGTGCGAATCTGTTCTGTGGCCAGCCCCTCAGACACCCACTTCTCAGGGAAGGGAAGTAGCAATGAGCCGAGAACCCAGAACAGCAGACAGAAGGGGCTCTAACTGTGGACACATGACACCCTGACTTCCGGCCGGGGTCTTGAGCATATCACTTCCCCTCTCTGAACCTCAGCTTCATCTGTAAAGTGGGTACAGCTTAATGACCTCCTCCAGTGGACTGGCAAGTGCTGCTCACAGGCCCTTGTAAGAGTGGTTTGTAAAGCTTAGGTGTGAGCAATCAATCTCTCTCTCTCTCTCTCTCTCTCTCTCTGCCCAAGTGACCGTTACCACCAGTTGCTCTGACACACACTGACCACCAGGGGGCAGATGCTCAATGCAGAAGCTACCCCTGGTGGTCAGTGCACTCCCATAGTCGGAGCCTCTGCTCAGTGAGCTTACTCACTGAGTGGCGGGATGAGCATTAGCAGCGAGGCACCTGGCCCCAGCTCAGGACTCCTCCCCCACAGCCTACCGATTTGTGCACTACTGCACACCACTACATCCCTCGGGGGGATGTCACACTGCCTGCGCGGTTCAGCAGTCCAACGTCCTCTGAGGGGTCCCAGATTGCGAGAGCGCACAGGCCAGGCTGAGGGACCCCACCAGCGCACAAATCCAGGCACTGGGCCTCTAGTTAGACAATAAGGGGCTGACCTCCGCTCCGCTCCACCCTCCAAGCAGAAATCAGGGGCCACTTCAAGCTCTGCAGGTGGTTGCTGGGAAGTATGCCTCCCTAGGGTATACCCCTGCTGACAATCGAGGGGCCCCTGATTCCCAAAGTCCTACCAGGAACCGAGGCAGCAAAGAGGGGACACACCCACTTCACAACTGAAGAAACAGACCCAAAGAAAGGAAGTAACTTGCTCTAAGCTAAAAAGCCAGAAAGAGACAAATTTGGTCACGGTTGAGCTCCTGGGCCCAGATTCCTCCAATCCCTGACTCAGTAGCATCAGTAATCCTAAAACCCGCCTAACCCCAACGCTCTATTCCAGGCCCTACAGATCAGGAGAGCTTTCTTGAAGGGGCCTGTTACTTGCCCGAAAGAGAAGCGAGAGAACTAGCAACTTGCTCAAGGTCAGCAGCAAGGGTGGCCACGCAAAGTGCTCTGCCTTTCCACACTCCTCTGTGCTGTCCTCTCAGGGAGATCTGTGCACATGGATCTGGAGGGCCCCATCCCTGCACGCCATCTTGCCTGGAACCAGGTACCCCACCTTGCACCCATGTCCACCCCCTACTTCCCATGCCCCAGCAGCTACCCCCATCTGGGTCTAGGGAGTCCCTTCTAGGTCCAGTCACTGGGGTCCAGCTGCTGTTTTGCAGATTAAACAAAGTGGGCCTGAAAACATGAGTTAACTAAGCGAGATGAGAAGCCCCCCTCCTTTCTCTCCCTCACCCCCAAAACAGGCAGGCCAGGAAAGCCAGACTTGGAACCAGGAGTCAGTCCTTGCTGGGCCAGCCCGGACTCCTAGGGTGACCTTGCTCAAGGAAATCTCTTCGCTTCTGTGAGTCTCAGTGGCCACAACTGTGAAACGGAGATGGCAATCTCTCCTCCCCAGCGTGCCCAAATGAAGCCGGAGGCCACAAGAGGCAAGAATCTAAGTGGTCACAGCAGTGGGGTAGGACACCAGTGTCCCTTAGAGGCAGGCCGCTCCTCTACATGGACCAGGTACGCGCTGCGGGATGAGGGGAATCTTCCCAGGAAAGGGATGTCAAGGTGTGGACAGGAGAGGAGACTCCCTTGCCCCCATCTCAGTCCTTTGTGCCGCGCTCGGAGGAACAAGGGGGGGCGGGAGGCCAGACTGCAGCGCCTGAGCGAGAGCGCTGTGACTTTAAGAGTCGAGGATCCCGGACCATGTGCTCCGCGTGAGACAAAAGCAACAACAAAGGAAGTGGCGGTGCGGCAGGGGGAGGGGGCGGCTCCTTCCTCTCCAACCGCAGCGCTCAGGCTCCGGAGCCGGGAGCCTCGTCCAGGCATTGGGGCTCCCTGGGAGGGGGGTGTCTCTGATCTGAGAGGTCTCGCCGCCCCCCTCCGGACCGCCCGCGATTAACCCCTGCGGAGCCAGCGGTCTCACCGCCCCCGGTCGTCCCGAGGGAGGGGCAGCAGTGTCCAGGGACGCGGAAACTCACCTTCAGCCTCCTAGACACACGTTGATTCCTTTGTTCCCGATCTGGGGCGGCCGAGCTGGGCCAGGGAGGGAGCGGTGATGGGGTGGGGTGGGGGGGTCTGCCCGGACCCTTTAAGAGCCCCCGCCCTGCGGAACAATGTGCTCCCCTCCCCACCCCCGGGGCCCGGAGCAGTCCGGCTCCTTCCGGGGCCTCTCGCTTTGTTGTCCGTCCGCTGGCGTCCGCCTCGCGAGGCCCACGCGCGCCCAGCCTCCCTCGGCCCAGGCCCTCCGGCGGCGGGAGGCGGCGCAGGACGCGGGCAGGTCTGCGCAGCTGCCCGGGCGGCGGCTGGCCCTTTAAGAACTGGCCGCGGCGCCGGCGGAATGTAACAAACCCCGCATTTGATTCACAACATTCGGAGCGGCGGCGGGGGCGCGCGCGCGGCGGGCGGGGGCCTCGCGGGGGCGCGCCGGGAGGCGGGTCCGAGCGAACAGTAGCCGGCCGCGGCCTGAGGCGGCCCCGCCCCGGGCCGAGAGGCCGTCACTCGCCGCAGCCAGACACGTGACCAGTGCCCGCCATCTTGATAGATGAAAAGAAAAAAAATACTCTTCTCGCTCTCACCTCCGCACTTAAAGGGACCGCAGCTGTCGCAGGCAAGGGGCGGGGCCGCCTGGCTAAAGAGCTGCAGACACTCCGGGATGGGCAAGGCCAATCAGCTGTAATGTGAACTTGCTATGCAAACTCGAGAGCCAGCCGCGCTCCTGAGGCTGGTTCCCGGTTTGGAAAAATGGGTCCCGCCGACAGAAGCACGGCCCAGACTTACTGTCACGACTCCCTCCTCGGAGACAGGGCGACATCTGGGGCACTGAGTTGTAATGGGGCCGATCTTCGACCAGGCTGAGGCGTCCTCTCGGGTCAGTCCAAGGGGTTAGGAAGGCCCTACAGTCCCGGGCCATCAACCTCCCCAGATATGACGTCACCCCTAAGAGCTACTGCGCTGCGATGACATCATGGTCTGGCTTCCCTGCATCTTTTAAAACTACGCGGCGGCTTTAAAAAGCTGGGGGGGGGGGTCCTGTATTTGCCTAACGGACCAATAGCCGGCAATCCATGTAAATAATTAGCGCCTGACTTTCAGGGTGATTGGTCCCGCACCCGCTGACGTCACAGACATTTTAACCGCCCCGCCCCCAGCGCGGTCAGGGAAAGGGGCGGGTAACAATTTGAAGCTCCAGCGGCAGTCCCGGGCGCTCTAGTTGCTTCTTGCCTAGGGGCATTGGGAAACTAAGTCCCACGAAGTCTTCAGTTTTCGACTGCACTCCCAGAAGCTACAATAGCTATGAGACAGAGGGATTACTACAACCTGCCCATTTTACAGATGGGTAAAGTGGGGTGTACTGACCCCAGGTCACACAGCCAGGGAAGTGTGGCTGAGCAGGTATTTGAAACCAAGCCAAAGCCAAGCTTTTCCCTTTGTTTGGATGCCTCCCCCAGGCAGACATACAAAGTGGAATATTACCTCCATATTGATTATTTAAGGGGGGAAAATCAGTAAGACCCTTAATATCCAAGAACTGGGAACAGGCCCAATAATGGTGTATGAAGAGAGAAAAAAAAGGTAAAAACCACAAAACAAAAAAAGAATGATGTATATAATCAATAACTGATTCCCCTGTATGGTGCTCCACTGACATAGGGCTACCTCCAAAAAAGCCCTAAGAGATGCCAGGACAAAATCATAATGTGTGGTGGGCTGTGGGATGGGGGGCAGAGTTGGGGGTGGTGCAATTCCCTATGCTTCCTTGGTATACTTCATAATACTAAATTCAAAGATAAAAGTTGAAAGCAAGATGCTGAACAGAGTATAATAATATTTATATTTTAATATTAGATATATACAATATCTGCATAATATTTCTGGAAGGATGTATAGGAAATTGACAACTGTCCTCAGGGAGAACTGGAAGAGACCACTGGGTCAGGAAGATAGACTTACTTATTCTTTTGTACATGTGCTCTTTTACTTTTTAAAAGATTTTTAAAAAAATTTATTTTTTGAGAGAGGAAGGGAGAGGGAGAGAAACATTGATGTGAGAGCAAAACATCAATCAGCTACCTTCTGCACACCTCCTACTGGGGATTGAGACAGCAACTTGCCCCATGCACCGAAAGGTTGCATGGGATGTCACCCAATCAACTGAGTGACACTGGCCAAGGTTACATTTGCTCTTTAAAAAAAAAAACCCTATTCAGTATAACCGACAGAAAAGTCTAAAGAAAATTACTGTTAAAGAATATGTTTTTAGACTTTTAAAGCCATAAAAACTTCTGATCTCTTAGAGTCAGAAACCCCTTTAGGAAAGGTATCCAATGGAAAAATCCAGAAGTTTGGGGAACAGACATGTTTCTCAGTGTTGTTTAGCATGTGGATGCACAGCCAGCAAAAACAACGACTGAAGATGGTACTGTCTGCGGGTCTCTAGGCACAGGAGATCAAGTTCATGATGTATTACTACAGATGGTATTAAAAAGCCAAACTCCATCACAGATAACAGAATGCTCTGACTTCCTCAATACACAGCACAACTGTCATCACATTGTGTCAGGACAGCAGAAAGCTATCTTCTGGGGACTCCCCCTTCCCTCGCCCACACTGGGGTGTGAAGGTCCAAGGAAGGGGCTCTGGGTCTGATTTTCACCCCGTGTTTTCCCCAGGGCCACAGGCCAATAACATGTTCCCCTGTAACTTGAAAAACTTTCCTGAGTTTATGCAGAATCACTCTGGAGCTAGTGGGGAAGAGGCTCAATTTTACCAGATTTTCCAGAGAAGCCAGAAATCTGGATTCTCCTATGAAATCCCTTCTCAGGTTCACTGACACATCTTATGCTTTGGAACCCCATGGTGGGGATGTGGCCATACACCTTTTGAATCTCTCATTCTCATCAACCCACCCCATATACTTGCCAGTTCTGCTACTTTCGTCATACAGATGAAGAAGGTGGCTTAGGAAATAACTCCCTTGCCACAGATCCCGGAAGTATGGCCCCGTGGGTTCTTGAAACCATAGGTGGGGGTGGCTCACCCTTGCCCAGGCATCTGCCATGATCTTCTGTGGAGAAATTTGGGCTCAAGGGTCTCCTGCATAGTCTGGGCAAGTCCAGTTCTGGCCATTGGCTCACTGGTTTTTTCCAATGACCTAAGAGCTAGGCACCAGCATTCACTCCATTTTATAGGTGAGGAAACTCGGGGGAGAAGGAATATGACTCACCTACCATCATACAACTATCAAGGGGAAAATCTGGGATCACATTCTAATCTCACTTTAAGTATGCTTCATGCCACTTAAATGCCAACACAGGGTTTCCCAAGGGCTGTTTAATAAAAGCGCAGATGTCCTAGGGCAGGAGAGACCTTGGAAGATCAGAGACTAGTGGGTGGCTCCAGATCACAGGGTGAGTATGTGGCAGAGGGATTCAAATTCTGATAGCTTCAAGTGCAAAACCCTGGGTGCTACATCCCACTCCCAAGCCGCCTCTGCAGATGGGAGGGATTCTATGTGGGCAGGAAGAAGGCAGGGTCATCTGTTCCTGCTCCACTGTCCTATCCAAGAGCCCGAATAGCTGGCTGCCACCACCGCCCCCCCCCCCTCAGGGTCAGGAAGTACCCCACTCCTTTCTCCTAAGGACCCTCAAATCCTCCAAAGAGGCAGGCATAGTAGTCTTCTAGGCAGAACAGAGAGATTAAGGAACCATCCAGGGACACACAGCACAGTCTGGTAGAGCCAGCTCAGGGCAGGTCTGAATACACCTCACATCTGAACCCAAACTTTGACTCACCTGAAAAAGAAGCACCTTTGTGCAGATGGGGGGAGGGTGGGGTGTCTGTAAAAGTGTCGCCAGGTTTGGGGCTCGAGTCTGCAGCACTCTTGCCCCACCTTTGAAACCGTGGGTCACTTACCTGGCCTCTCTCTGCCTCGCAGTCTCTCACTTGTAAAATCAGAACATCGGTAACACTAGTGACAGAGGACATTCACTGGGCACTTCGTATGTGCCAATAGCGTTGTTCAGAGGCTTCTGAGGAGGCATTAAACCCAGAACCTCTGAAGCCAGCCTGTGTGGGCTTGGACCCTAAGCGTTGCCTATTAGCTCTATGACCTTGAGGAAGTCACCACCTCTACGAGGCTCAGTTTGACGAGGCGTAAAATGGGGCGAGAGTACACACCTTAGAGGGCCATTAGCGGCTCTCTCTCATTGTGTGCATCCCTGAGGGTACCCGCCTGACTTTCTAGGTCTGGGTCTGCGCTTGGGTGTGGGAGCTTTGTGGGTGCGATGCTGGGAGGGGCTCTCCTTTCTGATTTCCTCTGCCCTGAAGCTCTCACCACTGGAAACCCCAGGGTCTGCAGAGGCGGGAGCAGGTGCCATCACCACATCAACCAGAGATGAAAACCGGGGACTACAGGACTGCGGCGCACAGCAGATCCTGGGAGACTGAATCCAACCAAATTTCCGCCACCCCCCTCCTGCCCACACCGCCTTCCCAACCTCCAGCATCAGCTCGACGTGGGCTTAGTGGCCCTCGGGCAACGGAAGCCGTGTGACCTTGGACAAAGACCCTCTCTGGACCCCCCCCCCCCCCCCCGACATCATGAAAGCAGTAACGACGGCACTGGGGTGCAGGGATCTGTTCCCCAGACTCGCGGCCACTCCAGGGCAGGTCCCAGGACGCTCTGGCTCCCCAGGGGCTGGCACAAGGAGCGCTAGTAAAAGGGAACGGAAGCGACAAGGCTAAGGATTGCAGACTCCTGGGCCCTAGATGAAGGTTGGGACCAGCCGGGGCATGCGCAGGGCGCAGGGCACGCTGGAACTTGTAGTTCCCAGGGGCACCCTTGACCCTAGCAGGCGGGTCGCTGAGCGAGCGACTCTGGCTTAGGGTCCCGGGACAGGGAGCTTGGGCCCTGCGGATGCAGGCAGAGGCCTCGCTGCAAGTCCTTGCACTACTCTGCCAGCCCGATGCCGCCCCCTATCGCTCCGTCCTCATCGCTGTCCCTGCGGCTGAGGCTCAGGGTCCAGGTTGGGTGTTACCTGGGGCCAAGGCGGGGCTCCACCCCCACCGGGCAGCCGGCGGCGCGTCGCTCCAGCTGCAGCCCGGGGTCCCGGTCCGGCTGCGGCACGAGCGCCGCCCGCCGCGGCCCCCCCTGCGGCCCCGCGCGGTGGAACTACCCGCGGGCTTCACCACTGGGCGCGCGCGCGCGCACGCGCGGGGCCCACGCCGCTGCGCAGCCCTCACCCCCGCGCCCGCGCGCCTATGGAACCACCTGGTTTACACCCGGCGCGGGAGCGGGAGGCGGAAGGGGGCGGGGCGGGGGCAGGCCACGCCCACTCGGTGCCGGGCGGCGGGGGGGGGGGGGGGGGGGGCCGGCAAAAGGGAGGAGTCCGGGGTCTGGCGTTCCAGCTTTCCGCTACTGTCCGCCACCTCGGACTAGT